GGACCATCGGGGGTAGTCCGTTCCTGACTTTGTAGCAAAACAACTGACTCCTGCATGAAAGCTCATCGAAGGAATTCATTTGTTTAGTCAATTACCAAAATTTGGATGATTTTGAATATTCACTTGAAAAGTTATCAAAGAAAAACATTTTTCATTTTGTAACTTCGAGGGCCCGTTACTTGGTAACGAAGGATTTTAGGAAAAAAAGTTATATGAAGTACTGGTGATATTTTGACCCCATCTATACATTCACGAGAGGAAAAGAGGAAGCCCAGGGACACCCTGTATATTTCATATGTACTCGCCAATTTTATAGTTGATTCAATTTGGAAATGGAAAAAATGTCATGTCTGCAAAATGGATCCCTATGTGTCTGAATTTTGACCAGAAGCATGTCTAGATAAAAGAATTCAATTCTTGCTTGGTTTGAAGAACTGTGTTGTAACTGTGTTGTTGCTGTGGATAAAACTTGAGTACACGTCAACGATTCAGAAATAAAACAGAAATTCACGAATGGGTTAATAAATTTGATGTTGGAAAATCCGCTTCCTTTTTTGGTGGATTGCCAAATAAATCATGATTTCTGGAAATGGTTGGAAAGATAACTATAATTATTACCTGACGTTACTGCCATTCTACGAGTAAAAATTATGGAGAGAAGAAGCGAAAAGATGAGATGAAAATTTCGGAGGCCTACCTTGTAGAGTAAATTATTTCTTCAAAGGTAATGAGGCATTGCAGGTTCGCCATAGTGGATGTATCAAACTGAATAGTATAATGAAACTAAAATATTTCAACCCTAAATTCTGTTTTCTTCCATAGTTGACTAAAACATTTTTATCACATCCTATAAATTGAAGCTTTCTGAAAACACGATGAAAAAACAAGAATTGTATATATCATTTTCAGTCTAAAAATATACGATATCAATAAATATTTTCATTGAAGTTTATGTAAACTTAGAAAAAAGTTCCCTTTTCTCTCTGTTTTCTTTCAGAAATGATGTTTGAGTAACAAATAGACTACATGAGAGGCATACTTACAAAATATTAATCTGTTTATTGAATACTTTCACGGTGCCATTAGGGTTCGCTGAATATTCTGCTGTAACGCACTTCCCACCAATTTCAAAAATCGTTGGGTATTTCTCCTGTTCATACCATTTTCCCAAATACTGAAAAGGAATTGAAAACTCAGTTCTTAGATGAAATCAGTAGAATTGGTTGTGGGGTTGTTGACACAGATGAAATAAGAAATAGCATAAAATGAATCAATCACATTACCTCATTAATATAAATAATATAGCGCTAATTGAATATTGTTGGGGAGGATTTGTGGAAATTTCAATATGGAAGCGAAGCTTCTATAAAGTGTTATATGGACTTGAACATTCGAACTAATATACATGAGTTTCTCAGTATATTCGGTTATTCATAAAAATATGATAGAATCCCTGGTAAATAAAAAGTCTCTGAAATCAAATCATATTCATTTCATGGAGCTGGTTCAATGTCATGGAGACACGTCAAGCGAATCAGCGATGTTCGATTATATTCCCAATCTTTTAAAAATATAAACGTATATGATTTCTACGAGATTTATAAAATACTATTCCTGAGGTGAAAATCATCTTCAGAAATTGCAGCATGTTCATTTTTCGAAATAAAAATAACAAACGTGTGCATCTCGAGACGCCTAACAGAAGTGATAACTTAAACCAATCTAACATATCAAACCAATCAAACAGCAGATTCAAGAAACATGACTTGATACTCAGACCAACACAAACGAGTATTCATGACAAGGAAGTTTTGTTAAACAATATCTTATTATGTGCTGAAGATATGTTTATATAATAAAGAATTGAGAAATTCATTACGTCCCTCAAAGTTCTGAACAAATTTCGTAAGTGTAGGAAAGGAGTTTCCATGAGAACATCTCTCCAGAGAAATTTTGAATTTGTGGTTAGATGTATAATTTCTGATACATGCGATTGTGGTGGCCTACATAGGCGATTTCCTATTCAGGCGTCTCAAATGAAATTTTGTCAAATAATCTCACGTAGAATATGCATAAATATCTGTATTTCTCGTGAAAGTACTAACGTTGGTGAAGGTGTGAATTAATAATTGGTAGACATAAATGCAATTTAGAGGTCATATATTGTTGTCCAAGAATGTTTCTTTACAATTTTCACTATATTTTAGAGTAAAAATATGCACTACGCTTTCGTAGTCATTAGTCATGTCATATAATTGAAATCAGAATTTAATGTTTTGAATGCTAAGTAAATTTCATTCAGTTTTTCACAAATGAGGTTGATTGCTTCATTAAAACCCAATACAGATTTCATTAGTATGCCCAAAAGCTGTGTATGTTGTTTAGAATTCATGAGACATCAGCAATATTGAAATCAAAAATTTTTATATTTCCATAAGTTTTCACAAAATGTATTCGTGAAATACTTGTATATCATGAGATTATTTCGACACTGAGAAATTTTTTTCAATACTGAAATAAATTCCGTTCATCTTCTTAAACACTTTTCGCAGTAACAATGATGTTGGTGTCATCAGAATGAACCCATAGGTACTTAGTATGGGTTCTTTTGATAAACTCTCTTTAGCGGCAGCGCGCTTGTGCCGTAAAAACCGCGCGGAACCTTATTTTCAACGTCAAATTAAAATTATAAATAATGGATAATGAAATTATCGGAAATTTCCTCCTCATTAACGAGATTTTTTCAAAATTGCTCAAATATTATTATTTTTCAAGTTATCATCGAAAAACAATACCATTTTTTCAATCTTATTTTGTTAGTAACAATTGCAATTTTTTACCTGCACCAAAATCTTTGAAAAACATTTTTCCAGAGGTAATTCTGAATCGAATGAGCTATCGTTCATATTTTTAGGACCTTTATCACTATTTTTTATGTTTTTGAACTTGTTGATTAGACTAGTACCCGCTATTTGGGTTTTGGAGTAGCCTGAGAGTACAGTCCTCGCCGCAACTAGCAATGAGGGTTGATGGGAAATTATTAGGTCAGTATGATAAAGCGGTATTTAAGTAATTGAATTCAAATGAGTTTGTTCAGCAGTCTGTATTGTATTTAATTTTGGGTTCATTGAGGAAAGTTAGAAAGACTTATTTTGAAAATGTGATTTATTTGGGTTGAGGAGCGAATTTCGAAATGAAAATTTCTTGTAAAACATTAACTTCAATAAAATGAATGAATCCCAACAAAAATATAATTGAAGTTATGATCAAAATATTATAAAGGTTCAACTCCAGACAGTTCGTAATCGCTTGTAGAGTTACCACTATCCTCACTGATACTATCGTTGTCACTTGAATATTTAAAATAATTTTGTCTATTGGGCAGGTTCTTTCGAAGCATTAAATTTTTCGAAACTTTTAGCGTGTTCGCAACGTTTTTCCACTACTCTTGAGGAGACGAAGTGAAGAATTCGTAACATAAACTCTCAACAGATTTGAAATTGAAGTTCACATATTGTGTCAGTGATGCCAATACCAATTATATTGAATTCAAATCTGGATTATCAGAAGGCAATCTGAGTACAGTATGTCCATGATTTTCCACAATCCTATTAATTTCATACAACTTTAATCGTGGTCTATGGATTTTAATAATGGAATAGAAATCAATTTTCAGCTCATCATCTGTGAAAAGTCGTCTGGAACAGTATCTTATTTCATTTTTCCTCAAGGACATGGTTGGGCACTTTTCATACTAAACAGTGTGATATGAGACATTGTCTATAACCAAAACGCTTTTTCCTGAAAGATTGGGAATTAATATTTCTTGAAACTACTTTTATTTATTGTCGTGATTCATTTCGATATGATAGTCGCCCAATTTTGAATTTTTCACAAATCCATTTTCTCCTCTTGCATTTACAATTATAAGTCTCTGCCCTTTTGAAATTGGTGCAAGCAAACGTTCATTCAAATTATGATTCAAATTCTTCTCATGTACGTGAAGCATGGATATATAAAATTCAAGTAATAACCTAAGCTTTTCCCAAGTTAAACAATTTCAATGTCAAATACCTAGTTCAGATTAGTTTGAGTTATCACTTATGTCGGGTGTCCCGAAACGCACTCGTTTTTTTATGACAGTACCAGTTTCTTGAAATTTCGCTACTTGTTGACGAATGTACACGTGACTTACATCTCTCCGGGTGCCTCGGGTTGAATACTTTAGTTGTTCTTAACAAACATTGATCTTCTCTACCATAAATACAAATCATTTCCACACGTTCAGCTGTGTTGTACACCATTGTTACAATGTACAATGTACAATGTATCGCTTAAAGTGAATAAAAGCAAAACAAAAATACCTCCTGAAAACGAATATTTCAAACACCCCTTTTTTGTTACTTTTACTCATCAACTGAATCATTTTTTTTTCAGGTAGAAATAAACAAAAATAGTACCGGCGTAAAATGTTTGAGAGTGTTAATTTTGATGCTACGATGGTAATAAGAATGTTTTCAAACATTAATTAACAATTAATAACAATTAATAATAGAAAATAAAATCTCAATTTGAATAAATTGTTTTATTCAATGAACCAAAACTTACTACATCGAATGTAGCTTTGTAGGGTACCATTGAAAACCATTTCTTAGAAACTTTTAGATAACAAGAAGGGGGTTACCATTCAATAATAAAAAGTTGGGGTAACTGGGGGAGACGGGGAAGTGGAAACAAGTTAGCTATTACATTATTTTGTTTCCCTCTTCCTCTGAAGGTGAGCTTGGTTGTTTTTTCAATAAACAACAGTGGAATCATCAACCTGCAATTCTATGATAAAAATAATAAACAATACAGTTCCAAGCACCCTCTACAATTTTTTTCTTATGTTGAACTGATCAACTCTGAAAATGAACACTCAACGTATCTCACCACGATTACCTATTCGTCCATCAAAATCAAAAGTGAATCTCATATTCGTAACTAACCTTTTCAACGTTGAAATGTTGAACGACTTCTACAGGTGGACACTTTCCTAAAGATGGTATTTGTGCGGAAGCATAAGTAATATTTATAACTGCTAATACGAAAGAAAATATAATTGACGTCATGTTAATTCAAGTATCTTCTTCCTACACGATGTCAGAGACCTACTGATTGACGATGGCATGTAGTTGGGAATATATTTGAATTATCTTAGACCTTGAGTTTCGTAAGCAATGGTTAGAAATAATAGTGCAGTCGAGTAAGGTCGAACATCAGTTTCATTGGCGATTTAGGTGAACAATTATTACGAAACATATTAGGGAAAGAATAGAACGAAGATGATGATTTGAATTTTGGATTTTGGCAATGACAGCCAAAACATGGCATCTTGATATAAAATGATAGTTTTTAGTACAGTACCACATTTGTTGACTCATAAAGTTATATGTGATACATAACCTATTTCTGATGTTAGTTGAATGATATAATCAGTGTCATTGGTAATTATTATTTTCCATTAATTGCTGCTAATATTACTTGAGCGTTAAAATTGAAAAGTTATTTCAAGAGATCAATCGTAAGCGGCACTATGTGTTGACACATTAACATATTAATATTATTTCGCAGTTGATAAAACCGAAGGATTTCTGTTGATTTTGAGGGCCTGCTAGAATTCCCAGGTAGATATCAGATGTAATAAATCCTTCAAGTATCACATGAATGTTAGCAGTTATAATTTCAAAAATATTTATATTTCATTATCATTATTCATACACATAGTTCAAAAATTTGAACATGTTCAAAGCTAACTGTAATGACAACATATTTCATCCAATCAATCATTTATACAGCGTCTGAAGTATTTGAAATTTAGTTATAAAGTAAAGTACTAAGAATATCATTAAGATTTTCAATATTTGTTTTTTTTTTTTGTCCAAACAGTTTGCGTTTTCGTTAACTTGGATGATTTAAAGAATAAACATTTTGATCGTATTTTTTTCAGATGTAGAACTTTTGCTCCATCGAATTTGATTTTGTGTTCACTTCCGCCCAAAACTTTCTTCAATTTGAGGTTTTTCTACCTGATAATTTTCTAAAATTGTTACAATATAATTTGATTTACAATCATTGGAAGGTATATTATGAGCAATGTTTGATTTTTCTAAATCAGGTTTAGAAATTTCCAGTTTCGATTCAAGTTTCTCAATAACTTTATCAATCTTCCTCTTGAAGATGATCATTTGGTGATCGAAACACGTTACGAGGTGTTAGAAAAATGGTTTGATATTGGGAAAAAACTTCAGTTATTATCATTTGATAACTTAATTATTCTCATTTGGAATTTTTATATCCTTTGCTATGTTGAAAACTTTAATTACAGTGAATGAAAATCTATATTGGGAAATGAATAGAATAAATGTTCTACAGCTGATTTGGAAAAATCAAACGTTGTTTGGGATATATTTTGTCTCTTTCGGAATATTTTACAGATTGGTTCGCAAAAGGTATTCATAAAATTCACAATGAGCATGGCGTGGAAAACCCATGTTGTCTATAGGAATAAACATGTCAAGAACATTTACTAATTATTAAAAGTCAAGAAACCCAAAATTTTCAAATTACCACAGTCGTTATGAAAAAAAATTAAAATGTAAGAACGGCTGGCACGATTAATTTCATTAGGTCAAATACTGAACCATAAAATACACAAAACCATCAGAATGTTTTTCTGCAAATCAGTCATGATGAGAAGGAGAGAAATTATTTTGAATGTTCATCACCATTGCCAATTGTTTTTCTATGAAGGAGCAACATAATTTACTAAAATTCAAAGAATTCGATCATAATTCTATCAAAGGTATGAAAATTCTCATCGAAAGAAAGAAGTAAATATCACTCAAATGATCAAACTATGTTTTCCATTCAAAATTGATCAGACTGTGCAATGAAAGTCATCTCGAGAAAGAACCTCTATTTTGATAATATTAGAATATTACTGAAATTCATCTTATATTCAGTTAACCTGTTGTCTTGAGACGCATCTATTTGGAACTTCTGGGTAATTGCTCTTGGAATAATCCAAATTATATCGATTCATGATGAGAATTTAGTTGATTCATCTATTAAATACTTAGGTACTAGCGGACATTGCCTGGTATATTAATACTTCCGTTAATGGAAATCATTTTAATGCTCAAACAATCAAAAAGGACTTTGACTATGTTGATAGTTCTAAACATTCTCTACCCGAACATAATGTATAATATCATGCCAATTCTTTATATTTCTTGACGAATAGTAAAAGTTATTTATTGCTTATTCAACTATGTTAATAATATTCTGGAAATTCTATAGAAGCATAGATGATATGAAAATATATATATAGAATTCAAAAAATTGTGTCAATATTGCATTATTGCATAGATTTTTTATTTTGACCCATGATTATTTTATCAATTGAATGCCTAATGCACACAAGAATTACAATAACTCTTGTGAAGAGTTAAGATACTGTAGACAAGGCAAGATTTAATTCTTACCGTACTCTTACAACGTTTGAAAATGAATGATTTTACAAAATGCAATGTTTCTCATCGGTAGTCAGAGAAAGGGTTTCAGATTCGTCATTATAGTAATAGACAGACGTTTGGATTAACATAGGTAGGAGAGGTCATGATAGCAGGTCCCAAGGTAAGAAATACAAGGAACAATTAAGGAATTAAAAATGTAGCTATTTGTAGCTTACAGTATTTACGTGAAATAGACTCAAATGTACAGGTTGCTCGAGAAAAGATATTCGAGAATATTGAATTTTATGAGGATAAGTGGATTGGAAACGACCCGTACATAAGAAGAACTACTGGAAAACCCCAATGGTGATAATGAAAAATCAAATAATTCTAACAAGATTAGTTAACAATACATAAAATGAAAATAATGTCATAAAACAATATTTTTTGTTATACAAATTTTAGAGTTGGCAACTCTAGGCTAAATAGCGTAAAATAAAGATTCACTTGAAGGACATAATAATTTGGATAGCAAGATTTTGAGACCGAACACTTTTTATTGATTTGTAAGAGACCATAGTGAACTTATTGCGTTATTCTGATATTGTCTATCGCTCCAATTCTTATTCAGTATCTTATCAATTTCTCAATGTTTGTCATCTTGAACTAATTTTGTCACACAGGTGAATGAATTTGTTTACTAGAGATACTGTGCACTATCTATAATTTTAAATCGTCATATGAATATTTCAACAACATGATTTAAAACAACAGATACTGGTATTACAATTCTCAAACCACATATTTTTCTTTATTGCAGGTGTTGAAGAGACACTACCGTATAGAGAAAAATCAACGTATACAATGTGACAATTTTGACAGGTTTTTCAATGGCCATGTTTTGCGGAAGAGATTCAAAAACACAACAACCTGAATGGAACTTTTTTATGATTTTATCCTAGTTTCTGGATGAAAGTAGAATTGAAATATATGACATAGAATAAATCTTGAACAAGCACTGCTCTCTGGTGTTAATTATTTTGTGTAAATCCTCAGTATTTTTGGATTCAGAACTATCGCCTCAGTATTCATTAATTTCTCTCACATAAAAGGTACCGCGGGTTGGGAGAAGTTTTTTCCTGAAGAATCAATATGAAGAGTTGGTGGATCAACTATAAAGTTTTTAAATTACTGATTCAATTTTGATAGGTTCATATGGTAGTACTATCACTGTCAATATTGAAAAAAAATGGTCATTATTTGCACTCGTGAGTGTACTATTCTATCACAAAATTCATTATTTCACTATATACGAGTAGATAGACCAAATGTAATGGTGCAAAATGTTATCAGCTATCGCATTATATAAGTGGAAAAATTATAACTTCGAAATTTTACAATTTCCAATTTGAACTTGTGAAATATCATACTGACAATTTGGGTACCATAAAATGAATGGTAGATAACATGCAATTTGGATAAGAAACATCGATATACTTTTTTCACCACAAATGTATGTTTCATGGAGCAAAAATAAAAGGTGAAATTTCACCCATGAACTGCTCCAGTTTGGAGTTTCATATTTCTACCAATTGAATTGGTATATTTTTTCTATATTCATATTCATCACATCTACTCATATAGGTTGTTTGATGTGCGATCTTTTTTTGAAGAATTTATTGAAATCATCACTAGAGTGATTTTTTCAACATGTGATAATTCATTTTGATAGATTCTACTTTTAACATATCCATTTCTGGTAAATTTGTGATGGTCTCTTTCAAGAGAATTCAGAATAGGTTTATATGTTCTGTTTATCAAAAATCGAAACTTTTGAGTGTCAAAGATTTCTAACCTTGAATGAAAAATAGGCTCGAAAATCGACAAATTTATAGCCATTCTCCACGTTGCTTTATATAGATATATTTGTTATATTGATCCATTACTGTCTCCAAGAATGAAGTATGCTGCAGATACATTTTTTCTCTATAATACTACTACTATCAGCAATTAAAAGTTTTTGATCTGGAGCTGTTTTTTTTTGAAGTTTTTCATACATCTTGAATATTATTTTCAATATTATTATTATCTTGAAGAAACGTTTCTTGCAGACGTTTCAAATGTAATTGAATCCATCTTCAGAGATCAAAAATTAGATTCTTAATGATGAGTCGTTGTCAGAATCTGAAAACAACTATGAAACAGTCCATTTCTCGACTACGGCGACGAGTGACGTCACAAGTTTTCCGAAAACTTCTATTGATAAAATCGTATAATGAAGTTAGGGTGGAATTACAAAGGCTAACAGAAATATTTATATGTGATACAAGTTAGTTATTGCAATTTTTTCAATAATAATTCCGCAATTATCAGAAAAACTACCAGATATCAGTGTCCCTGTACGTTTTCAGAAAATTAACATAATTAAAGGTGTACTGGTATTTTCGTTATCATAATAAATGTGAGTTTATGTTTGAAACTTGTATCTACAATGGCCCCGTAGTTTACTTCGAATAGTTTTAGTTTCCATGTTCAGCAGTTTATAATATTCCATTTTTTTTTGTTGAAATTGACACATTTATCATCATTGATTATATTGCAAAGTTGGGGAAGAAGTAAAAAGACTCGATTTTTTCGATGAATACTTTTTGAAAACCGGTGATTTCTACTTTCCGTTTTATTTAC